CCAACAGCTTCATAATTAAGATAGCCTCCTGTGTGTTTATTTGGGACTGATGCGGCTCTGGAACCAGGCTGGCGGGAAGGCTTCTCTTTACACACCCTGTTATTCATTTGTACTCTTTTTTTTTTCTGAGACAGGGTATCTTTGTGGCTTTGGAGGCTGTCCTGGAACTAGCTCTTGTAGACCAGGCTGGTGTTAAACTCACAGAGATCCTCCTGCCTCTGCCTCCCAAGTGCTGGGATTAAAGGCGTGTGCCACCACCACCTGGCCCTATTTGTATTCTTAATTTAGGTCTTTGATCACTTATAGAAGTTTGCAAAAAATTTGTTGTTTTGTTTCCTCCATTTACATTTGATTCATCCTCCACAGCTAATCTATCATCCAGAGCGGTATGATTTTTTTTTACAATAGGCACTGGATTCTCTAATCACTCTGGGGACGGTTGTCCTCCTGCAGTGACTGGGAATGACCAGACCACTTTTGACATGGGGGCCTTCAAGAGACCCCCAAGGAGTTTTCCGATTGTAAAGGGTTTCTTTTCTGGGTGTGGTCAGTGCAGCAGGTGCAGGTGGGGTGGATATCTCACTACAATTCCCTTTTTAGTCTAAAGAAAAGATTTATACTTGATACAAAACTATATAAGGACAGCAAATATCAAGTATGCACTAGAAGAAGGAAAAATAAGAACAAACACATTTAAGACCAATTGCCAGTGATGCAACAAGAGCAAATGACAAGAACTACAACACCCCACTTCCTTAAGGCTACAAGAAATCAAAACCTAGCATTTCATAGTCCTTAAGATTATGGGTCCAAAATGGTTCTCTCTGGATGAAAATCAAGATGTTGGCTTTCACCATGAAGGAACTTCCTCTATGGGGTACCAGGAATTCTCTACTTCATATTATGACTTCCACAGACAGCTCACATTTCTTGCTCAGGGCTCCAACTTCTGCTTCTGGGTCACATCCTCTCTGATTTCAACTTTCCTTTCTCCCTCTTGTTCTTTTCTTTCTTTCTTTCTTTCTTTCTTTTTTTTTTTTTTTTGAGACAGGTTTTTCTCTGTGTAACAGCCCTGGTTGTCCTGGAATTCTCTCTGTAGACTAGGCTGGCCTGGAACTCACAGAGATCCCCTTGCCTCTGCCTCCCAAGTGCTGAGACTAAAGGTATGTGCCATTGCCGCCAGGCTCTCCCTCTTTTTCTTATAAAGACTCTTGTGATTACACTGGGCCACTTGGATATTGTAGAATAACTCCCCTGGTCAAATCTGTAACTTGATTATACCTGCACTCCCACCCCCTGGCCCAGGCGTGAAGATCAGAACACAGACATCTTTGGGGCATCATATCTAAAGGGACATGGAGTCGGAAAGGCCTGAGCTGGGGTTGCCTGGCATCTTGGAAGACGGAAGCCAGTACAAATGGAGTAGAATTAACATGCTTTTCGTAGCCTCTGTGGGTTCCAGTGAGAATTTTGGCTGTTCCCTGAGTCAGACGGAAATAGATGAGAGACATGATCTCACTAGTTTTTGTTTGTTTTTAATTATCACATCTATTTATTTATTTACTTATTTATTTTGTATGGAGGAGAGACAGGCACACACATGGTGAAAGTCAGAGGACAACTGCTGAAGTTGGTTCTCCCTTTACATCATGTGTTTCCCAAGGATTAAATTCAGGTTAGCCTCTGAGCCAAGTACCTTTACCTGCTGAACCATCTTGCTGGCCCAATCTAACTTTTTTTCCTTCCTTCCTTCCTTCCTTCCTTCCTTCCTTCCTTCCTTCCTTCCTTCCTTCCTTCCTTCCTTCCTTCCTTCCTTCCTTCCTTCTTTCTTTTTGGCTTTTCAAGACAGGGCTTCTTTGTGCAATCTTGGCTGACCTGGAACTCTCTGTAGAGTAGGCTGTGGCCTTGAACTCAGAGAGATGTGCCTACCTCTGCCCCTGAGTGCTGAGACTAATGGTGTGAGCCACCACTACCTGACTCAATCTCACAATTTTTAATAGGCCACTGCCAGCTACTATACTGAGAACAGACTACCCATGAGGAGGCTGCTCAATATCCAAGCTGAGATGATGATAGGCCAGACTTCAACAGCGGAGGAAATAATGAGATTTTGAGTTTCTGGAGATACTTCAGCATCAACAGAGAGCGGCAAGTCAAGGATGATTTCAAAGTTTTTCTTTCTTTCAGATGTTTGGCTTATGAGGATGTAGTTTTTTGCTAGTATAGCATGTGCTTACCATGTTCTGAGTTAAAATTCTAGCAACCCTTGCTCCCAAAAGATGCTCTCTGTATTGGTATGTTTTCTAGTGCTATAACAAAATGCCCTGGGCAGGCTACTTTAAAAAGAAATAAAACTTATTTAGCTCACAGTTTGAAAACTGAAATCCAAGAGTGCAAGGAATAGCTCTCGCCGCCTTTGTTGGTTCTGGAGAGAAAATTGGCCTTTATTCCATAAGATGGGATGAATGAGACACAACCTCAGTTTGGCCTTTGCTTATTGCTATTGGCTGGTAAGATCAGGGCAGGAGTCTCAATGGATAGGATGCCAGAGAGGCCTTCAGGGAGTCAGCTCAGGCTTTTCTAACTTGTTCTCACGACAGCTCATGAGAACATTCCCTTAGGAGGAAGACACCCCCCAGGGTCAGAGCAAGCCCCACTTTGGCCCATACTACGGTACTGGGTGCCATGCATCCCCTACAGGAGGCCTTATGAGACAAGCTGCATTCAAGCCACGGGACCCTTCAAGCCTTGAAGAGAGGCTTCCCATTTTGAAGGACTGGAAAAATTAACAATACTGTTAAAATGTCCACACTAGCCAATGTGATCCCTTCCAAAATGCATTTTTCACAGAAACAGAAAAAGAGCACCTTAGATTTCATATGGTGCCAAGGACTTGGACAGTCTGAAGTATCTTTGGGAAGAACAAAGCCAAAAGTGCAAATAAAGCCAGATGCACGCCCATTTCAAGCTGTACTACAAGGTTATAATAAGCAAAATGGGATGAAATAAAAACAATCAGACAAGCAGGAGAACAGAATGTGAGCCCAGAAATAAACTCAAGCACATGTTGTCAATTAATCTTCAACAAGGGCACCAAAAGTACACAGTGGAGAAATGAATCTTCAGTCCACGGAGTAGAGACAGCAACATGCAAAGAAGTAAAACTGGACCCTATTCTTACATGCTACACATGATCTCAAAGTAGATCCATTTCAGTTGTAAGTGCAGGTGCCTGAAGGGGCCAGAAGACAGTGTCTAGATCCCCTGCAGCTGGAGTTGACAGTTGTCTGACATGGGTGTTGGGAACTGGACTCAGGTCACTAAGCCCATCTCTAGCCCATTAAACCGGTTATAGACTGAAATATAAGACTTGACAAAGGGAAACTTCCAAGAGAAAAGCCCCTTGACATGAGCTTTGGCCACATGTGTTGGTTTTGAGACAGGGTCTCACTATGTAGCCTTGGCTGGCCTGTAACTCACTGTGTGCCTGCCTCCAGCTCCTGAGTTAAAGGTGTGCACCACCACGCCTGGCTTTTCTTCTCTTTTCTTTTCCTTTTGGGAAATACTAAAAGCACATGGTGCAAGATAAAATAAGCAGGTGCAAACTAACCAAAGCAAATTTCATGAGAAAGGAAACTAGATGAAAAGTCACTCTACAGAAGGGAAGTTAAGAGTTGCAAGTAATATTTAATAAAGGGTTAATGTCTAAAATAGCATGCATACAATCAGGTAGCAAAAAAGTCAATTTGTCTGTCTTAATAGTCAAAGGACCTGAAAAGACACTTTTCCAAAGACATCTCCACATGGCCACTGGCATGTTGAAAGTCCTCAACTCCCATTGTCGGAGAAGTATAAACAAGACCAGGAGTTGTCTCCTAGAACTTGATAGGGAGGCTGTCTCAAGAAAAAGCTAAGGGTTGGCAAGGACATGAAAGAGTTAGAACCCTGGTGCCTGTCAGCAGAAATATAAATTAAAATCTTAAAAAGGCTCAGAAAGTTAAAAATAGGCTAAGCAATGGTGGCACACATCTTTAATCCTAGCACTTAGAAGCCAGTGGCAGGCAGACCTCTGCAAATTTGAGGCCAGCCTGATCTACACAGTAAATGAGTCCAGGACTGCATAGTGAGCTGAAAGAGAGAGAACAAGAGAGAGAGAACTCACTCAAACACAGAGAACTGAAGTGATGGAAATTTTAACCAGCTTGGTTATGGTGGCTATATATAACGTATATATTTCTATATACGTACACAAAATTAAATTATATACTTGTTTTGGGGGGGGGTTGTTTTGTTTTGTTGAGACAAGGTTTCTTTATACAACAGCCCAGCTGTCCTGGAATTTACTTTGTAGACCAGGCTGGCCTGAAATTCAGAGATCCACCTGCTTCTGCCTCCCGAGTGCTGGAATTAAAGACATGCCACCACTGCCTGGCCCAGCTTTCAATTTTAAAATTTATTTTATGTGCACAAATGTTTTGTCTGCATGTATATGTGCACCATGTATGTGCCTGATGCCCACAGAGAACAGAAGAGGGCATTGGGTCCTCTAGAGCTGGAGTTACAAGCTGCCATGTGGGTACTGGGAAGGGTCTGGCAGGTGAAGGAGACTGTTGTCCTGACTTTGTGGTGTTAGGAGTTTTCCTGGGTGCTGATTCAGGGCATGTGATCAGAGTGGCTTGGAGCCTTGAGGCTTCCTACTGTATTGTATTCTATTTCTCACATTGCTAAGGACAAGCACTATTGTCCTCTGACAGCAGGAACCTATGGAGTGAGAGGGGCCTGGACCCTGTGTAAACTAACTCACAAGTGTTCCCAGTGACTAAATACAGCTCGGAGCCACTGATTGGACCCTTTCTGAAAACCTGTTCCAGATTGGCCTGGCCTGGAGGGCTCTGACCAGAGCTGTCCACTGTGCCACGTCTATGGGGACAAGTGTTTCCCTTCTCTCAGGACAGAAACCCAGGCTGTCCCTTTCCCTCCTCAGTGACAACACAGGCAGGTTCAGCATGCATGACCATTTATTGGCTTTGACTTTTCCACATAATTGTTCTTCACTGGCCAGGGAATGAAGATGTGGGGGATGACAGGTCAGAATCAAAGGCACTTTGAATGTTAGAATGGGTGAACAGAGGTTGATCTAAAAGTGACAAGCCCATTTCAAAGGCTCACAAAGTCTGTGCCCAGGAAACCTGGCCTCATTCAGCTAGCACCTTCCCGTGCAGGCATCACTGGACCCATGCCTTCTGCTGTCCCTCCATCCCTAACACCTTTAGGCCCTGGCTGCTTCGGTGAGGGGGCTGAACACGTGAAGTTCTGTGCACACAAAAGTGACAAAAAGAAAAAGAGAAAGAAAAGTGACAGGGTCATGGGTAATTGTAGCCTTCGACTACAGCTCCACAGTGCAGTGTGATGAAGACCCCGGGCCCGAGGATTAACGTGAACACTTGGCTCTGTGAGCCTGGCCTGGCTTCCGAACCCTCCGGGTAGTGTTTGCTCTGGAGCCCTCCGTACCACAGCATGAAGGAAGAGGAAGTGGTGTCTGCACAGCTGGAGCCTGGGGACTGTGCAGATCTCTGTGGTGAGAGGGAGTTTCAATCTCCTCAGACCCCGCGCCAAGGATGGAGACAGTCCGTGAGGGGAAACAGGATGCTGGCTCCCAGGAGGGCTGTCCCCGAGGCCAAGGCCGGGCTCCCCTGCTTCTACCGCTTCTTCTTCGTCTCTTTCTTTGGCCTCTTGCTGGCGGGAGGGATGGCAGCCTTGGGCTTCCTCAGCATCTCTGCACTTCTGGGCTCCGACTGCTCTGCCTCCTGTGTGGCAATTTTTAAAAAGAGAGAGTCCTGTTTAGAGGAACTCACCTTGACCAAAGGGATTCTGCCAACTGAAGCATACCCCAAAACACAAGGGAACGATTGTTACCCAGACTAGATTCTGAAAGTACATGGCACCGGGTGGCATCTGGGCTCCTTTACCTCCCAGTTCAGTAGCCTATGGGCCTCTCAGTCCCATGTCTTATGTGTAAAACACCTGGAGGAGGCGCAGTCACAGGGAACACCAGCAGGGTTGGTGGCACCCAGTGGTTGTCAGGGTGCCCCATGCTAGGACAGCATTAGTGAGAGCTGGCTGTGGGACAGGCTACTACGGTTGCTCTCCTCCCCCATTCATCTACAGAATCTGGGCTGGGGTGGAGCGAGTAGGTGGGCTATCACCCTGTGTTCTGCAGAGTCTGGCAGGGGTGCCCTAGGGGAGAGCAGAGGCAGCCTCAGGCCAGAGCCCCAGATTCTCCGCAACTAGGGCAGCTCCATTCTGTGCTTCATACCCTAGGGTGCATCCCTTGTAAGATTTGCCTGAAACAAAGGTTCTGCAGCTTGAAAAAGAAAAAAAAAGTTCAAAGCCACAGATCCAGGTCTGGCCCTCACTTCAGATAAAGCTGAACCCCAGGAAGGGTCACGCCGGCCCCAGGCCACTTCACTTGTACCAGAGAAGAATCGGGAATGCTCCTATCTGGCATTCTTTGGAATCCCTTTGGTGATAACACAAGGAGTGCGGTGGCCCAAAGAACACCAGAGGCAGGTTAGCTAAGGGAATGCCAGCCACAGTCTGGGCTTTGTCTGCAAGCTGTACTTGGTATGCAGTGTTTACTCTTAAAAATCCATGCTGGGTGGGGGTGGGGCATGGCGGCTCAGCAGCTTAAGGTGCAGCAATGAGCTGACTTTGATCTCCAGGAGAACTGACTCCTAAAGCTGTCCTGTCCTCTGACCTCCAAAAATATAGCATGATGGAGCCAGGTGGTGGTGGCGCACGCCTTTAATCCCAATACTTGGGAGGCGGAGGCAGGTGGATCTCTGTGAGTTCCAGGCCAGTGTGGAATGATTGAACATTCTTTTCAGATGTGTGTGTCTAGGAAAAAGAGGGAAGAGAAAACTACATTTATGACAGCCTCACTTTTAAGGCTGGGGGCACCACATCTCATTTGGAATGACCGAGTGGAGAAAGAAACCTCCACTGCTAGGTGTTTCCTGGGTCTGTGGAAGCATCTTTTTGGATACAGCTCTATCAGCAATAAGGTGGTGAGAGAACAGCTCACCAGGCCAGAAAATCGCTGCTATCCATCAGGCCCAGGTGAAGGGATCTGTACAGAAAATCGCTGCTATCCATCAGGCCCAGGTGAAGGGATCTGTACAGTGCCAAGGGACAAGCAGCTCAGTGTATGGCTGTGCAACTGTAAATCGGAACAGAATGTCACTCAACACTGTCATTCTTTCCTTGAGAACAGTCCAGGGACAGAAAAGCACTGAGCCTTGCTTGCTCAGGTCGCATGTTAACTGTCTCATTTGACCTGCCAGGAGCTCTCCTCTTTTTGTGGCTCAGCTAGATTAAGGTTGGACAGAACTCGGACCAGGTCAGCCTCACACTGGAGCTCTGGCCCTTCCCACTGTATCGCTCCTGCCTGAGGCCCTAGGTGTGGAAATGGAGCAAGGCAGTGGCCTGGAGAAGAGGACAAGATTCCAGATGAGACAGAGAGTAGGGAAGTTGTCCACAAGGGCTCAACTAGGCCAAACAGAAACACAACATCCAACGTGCTTGTTGGGGAAGTGGAATTGTGATTAGACAAAACAGTCTGGGAGAGGTGGCTGGGGGCGGGGGCAGTTCAGTTAGTAAAGCACTTGCTGTAGAAGTGTATGGACCTGAGTTCAGTACCCATGTAAAACGTGGGGTATGGAAGCACACAGCTGTTATCTTAGCATTAGGGAGGCAGAGACATGATGTCTGGGGCCTGAGTACACGCACACGCGCACACACACGCACGCACACAAGCACGCACGCACACGCACACACGCACGCACGCACACACACCCCAGCTCCAGAAGCTCATTCTAGACACACTTGGGCAGGACTTCACAGGTCCTTCCCATTGCTTAGCCTGTGGCTGCTGTGTATCCAGCCGGCTCTCCCGTGAGCTGGTACACACTTGCAGCCTGGGGCCTGTGGAAGCATGATGATGCCCTCGCCCTGCCCACCACACAGCACTCTCAGGAACAGGTCATTAAGTAAAGCACACCTGCCTCCCAAGCCAACTATAAGCTCCTCCCAAGCTGCAACCTCATGGCCTGAGAAGCAGAGCTGCCTCTGTCAGCCTGCCCCTGGATGCTAGGACTGGGTGTGTGCTTGTTCAGCTAACTGTACAGTTGTGGTGGCCCTGATGGGCATGGAAACTCTGGCCCTCTGCAGAACTTTGCACAGGGCTCTAGCACTCTAGGCCATTATCCCAGAGCCCAGGGAAGGGTTTTTCAGGTCTCCAGACACCACAGGGTTTGGGTTGGAAGTGACATCTCTGTGGGCAGCACATTAAATGCCACCACACTATCTGCTTTTGGTGAGCTGCCCAGGAGAGCACGTGGCCAAGTAAAGCCTCCATGAGATTTGCGAAGTGAACAGAGAGATTTGCGAAGTGAACAAGCAGAGGACAGGTCTGAGCTGTAAATCCTGGATGACAGGGATGCTGATAGCTACAATCTTCCCTACACACCACAGGGCCTGAGAGGGAAGTCAGTATGCCCCGGGAAAGGCAGGAGCTAGAGAGACAGATGGCTCCAAAGACACTAAGCTTCCAAGTCCACTATGCCTTGATATCCTCAGTTCTCCAAGCTAACAAGCCAATACCATGTCTTTGTGGGGAAGCTATCTGCTGAGGCTTCATTAACACAACAGACCGGGACACAGACATTGGCAAGCGAAGCTGCCTTCCTTCTAGGTGCTGGCAGCTGGCTGGCAGCTCAGCCAACACCTAAACTATGAACTCACGGGGAGCTACCAGATGCACTCTTACTACGGGCTACGTGAGTCACTGAACAAAGCCAGTACCCTCTCACGTAGGGCCAAACGGATCTACATTCCGTGCAGAAACTGATCCAAAAGAGGCCTGGGAGGCAAGTTCATGCCAGGCGAGGCCGAGGGAGCAACGGCCCACACCTTCCTCCTTACTTTCTCTCCCCTGCCCCTTCTTTTCTCCTTCTCCCCCCTCCTCTTCTTTGTTTTGTTTTTCGAGACAGAGTTTCTCTGTGTAATAGTCCTGGCTGCCCTAGAACTCATTTTGTAAACCAGGCTGGCCTGGAACTCACAGAAATCCGCCTGCCTCTGCCTCCTTGAGTGCTGAAATTAAAGGTGTGCACCACCACCACCCAACTTTCTTTATGTCCTTTTCCTTAGCATAGGGTCTCGTTATGCAGCCTTGGCTAGTCTGGAACTTGCTATGTAGATCAGACTAGCCTTGAACTCTTAGTATCCACCTACCTCTTCCTTGAGGGTGCAGGGATTAAGGGTGTGCACAAGCATGTCTGGCTTACTACTCTGTAAGTTGCTTTCTTTCACCTAGGAAAACCTACACAGGCCTGCCCAGAAATGCACCAAGTGAGGCCCAAAGTGAGTTCTGCCGGAACCCTTTGAAGAGGGCTGCCTGGGCTGGGCAGAGCTGGCAAGCTGAGTCTGCTTGTCTCTAGTTTCAGGGGTAGTAGATTCACTTAAGCTCCCCAGGACCCTAGGTTTTGTAGGAACAGACCTCTCCTCTTCTCACTTTTCAGCTTCCACCCACTGACCACGGCTGTCCCCAGTGGGCCAGTCATACAGTTCCTTCTAGTGGCCTTTGAACTAGACCAAGCAGGAAGCCTTGGGAAGCTGCAGCTGATGGAGACAAACCCCAGGAGCTGTCATCTCACCACAGGGCCAGGGAACAGAGGAAGCAGGCGCTGGTGAGAGCCGTGAAAGACAAGAGAGGGCCAGAGGGGAGGCAGAGGGCACCTCAGGAGTCCGGGTTCCCAGTCGAACAGCAATTACACCTCAGTCTGTCTACAGCACATTGAAACCTCAAGCAGGGCAGGTAGGCGGGGTCAACTTCAGGCCTTTCTGGAATCTTAATTTCCTTGCAGAGACCAGCAATTCCCTAAGTTTCAAGTAAGCATGCTAAGTGGAAGCAAGTTCAAGGCCGGTCTGGGCTACAGGAGTAGACCCAGTTTCAAAACTGTGACTCTCACACACACAGAGCAGCAAATGGATAAGTGACCCTGAGATCTCTGGTCTAGCTTCTCCCAGGATCTTCCTTTCTCAGCTTGCGACATCAAGCTATCATCCCAAACTTAACCTGTCCTAAAATCAGTTTATGCTTCAGGGAAATCCAAGGTCTAGACAAGTGCTACATATTACATCACTTGGGCACACTACAAACACTATCTGAGACTCTGATAGTGTTTATATCTCCATGAGTCAGTCCAGACTACGAAGACTCCCAAGATGGCCCAGGCAGCCACAGAACCACAGGTAGACGCCACTCCCAGCCTCTGACTCATGGGCAAGCGGCAAGCGTCAGCAATCAATCCCTTCTTCTAAAGCCTAGAAGCTCAGAGCCCTTATTTTATTTTCCTTTTGAGACAGGGTCTCACCATGTACCTGTAGCTGGCTACATAGACCAAGCCGGCCTTGACCTCGAAGAGATCATCTGTCTCTGTCCCCTGAGTGTTGTAGCTAAAGGCATGTGCTACTATGAACAGCCTATCTCTTACTAGCTTTATTTATTATGGCTGTGTGTATGCATGTGTGGGTGTATTTTGGCGGTCAGGAGACAACTTTATAGAGTCACTTCTCTTCTGCCGCCATGTAGGTTCTGGGACTAAAGAAGTCATCAGGTTTGGGACCTTTACCCATGTCACCAGTCCCCCAGGATCCTTTTAACCATTCCCTCCATACAGCCAGACTTGGCTTGAGAGACAAGTGTATTTGCTGTCTTGTCTGGACTGGGTGGAAGCAGTCTAAGGAT